ATTAAAAATAAAAAAAAAATGGGAACACTGGTGACGTCACTGACACACAAAAAAAAGAAAGACTGAATTTACAGCACAGAAAATAATACTGTAATAATAAAATGCTGTATAAAGCACTGACACTTCCCACTACACTGAAACCAGTTAGCTTACAATACACCTAACTTCAGTAACACACTACATAAGGCTGTGGTGTAAGCAGCCTTATATAGTGTGGGGCTGGCACTTACCAATGAGCAATGATTGGGCAAAGTCATCATTACTTTGCCCAATCACGGCTATCACAGTGCACTATGCTGTGGCTGGGTAAAGTCTTGCACCTGACCTGTGGTCAGGTGCATTGCTTTACCCAATCAGGGCTCTCACAATGCACTGTGCAGTGCGCAGTGCATTGTGGGGCGCTCGGCAGGCGAACAACCCACCGAACGCCCTAATAGTTCTTGTGTTCGCCGATAATAATCCCTGATTATTGTTTTAAAAAATGAAATTTTTTTAAATGCATGGGGTTCCCCTACAAAGTCATACCAGATCCTTAATGCCTAAATCCCACTTAATGATAAAGAGGCTCCTTGCACCGAGATAGCTGCTCATGCCCGAGTGCACAGCCCCATGATCTCAGCACTGCAACTTTCCAAGGCCAAATGCCACATGGGATTGCACACAACACAACAAAATGTAAACCCAATAATAAAAACAAATAAAAACACAACAATAAATTTGGATTTTAAATGGCTGCGGCACTCTATTGGTTTTAAACCATTTATTAAATAATGTAAACTTTATTAACTTAATTAAATCATACATTAACAAAAAACTAAATAATGCTCAATCATTAGGGCTCGAGCTATAAATAACTAGAATTAGTCCCCCCTTGATCTATGGGTGACACCACATAAAATTGCCTGCAACAAGGGAGTAGGAAGATGCGGCAGGACCAACTGAAGCCTCAATGCCAAACCTGCACTTATAAATCATCCACGCGCAACAGAACAATCCAGAAGAGGCACGAGGATCTAAGCTTTCTGTCACTGACATGCCACAGGTAAGACATGAGGTGACTTAAAGAGACATACACTTTTATTATTTAGTATTTATGTACACTATATTCAAATATTCATTGATTAAAAATGTATAGTTAAATAAAAGATTAAGGAGGTAAAAATTGTTTCTTAGCAACAGCCTAAGCATGTTGCTAAGAATGCTGCTGGGATTTGTAGTGCCCTCCATGTCATGTACTCAGTGGCAGTACCAGTGCCAATACTTGGCATTTTCAGGAGAACTACCAGGGTTGAAGCAGTTGCAGCTGGGACCTAGCTCTGGTGCTCCAGCACTGTCCTGACATCATTAGTCTGTATTGTTTTAGAATAAACTGTCACATGGCAATAAACAAAAATGTATCAGTACTTGTAAAAATGGTATCGTTGCATCCCTTATATATATATATTTTTTTTTTAAATAATACATTTAAACAG